GTAGCTGGGGACAGAGTTTTGGATGGCTTTGTAAGTTGTTGTTTGTATTTGAATTTAATTTGTTGGGTGAGTGGAAGCCAGTGGAGGGATTGGCAGACAGGAGTAGCAGACACTAAATGGTTGGTAAGGTGGGTGAGCCTTAACACTATTAGTATAGTGGACATAGTGGAAATAAAATGCAATGGGGTTATTTACTAAAGCTAAAGAATGCAAATGCATACACACCAATTAGCTTCCAGGTTTTATTGCCAAAGCTTAACTGAACAAGCCGAAATTAGATTCTGGATGTTCCAGTTTTAGTAAATCACCCCCAATGTAAATTCGATTCATGTTGCATCTAGGTGTATCCCTGGTTCCAGTGGCATACCTTGGCTATCTGGCACCCAGGGCTGATGATTTTGTTTACACCCTGCCCTCAATATCAAATTATATAATTTTTGAATGTCATGATTATATTACAGAATTATGTAATGGGAGAGAGGTTTCCCCAGCCTGCCTTGTCCCACTTTGGAAGATGTCTTACTCTCTTCTTAAGACCACCAGTGCTCTTCATTTCCATGCTCTCCCTTAACCCTACCCCTTTAATTTTTTTTTGTTCATTTTTGTTTTTTGTTTATTGACTGACAACTGATTTATTTCTGTGCCAAGTATATTATGCTCATTTTATCTTGCTATAAACGAGAAAGGAAATTTCATTTACCACATTAAAATGTATATATTGTGTGGAATATAGCATTCTATACGGTAAATTAAATTCCAGAAAAGCCATTTATTCTAACATGCAGATAGGTTTGGTACAACCCATTCTTGTCCGACTTCCAGATAAAATTAAATAGATTTACTCTTTTTGATATTTATTGATTCCTTGGCTTTCTTGCAACAATTGCTGCCAGAGATCCAAGGGCAGCAGTAGGACAATTCACAGTAACCATTGACTTGCCAGTGTGTAGGAAACAGAGAAATAAAGTGCATTACCCCCTTATGTATCATTCATGATGAAGATATGCTGAATCATGATTTTACTGTTGAAGCACTGTGGGATCCTTTAAAAATGGAGGAAGAAAGCTTAGTTCTGTCGTTGATAATGGTGTTATAACAATCCTGCAAGGAATATTTATATGGAAAATAAACTGCGAACTGTGGGCTTCTTGAAAAAATAAAAACAGGCTCCTATAAAAATGCGTTATATACGTATTCCATACTCACTTCACCTGTTTCTTTCAGATAGATCAAAACAAAACTGCAGTCATTGCTTCAATGTATCGGACTACGTATCCATATGTTTCCATAGCACTAACTTACCCTGACAAATATACTTTGATAATGTAGGACAACTAAATCCACTACAAGATCTTCAAGGGCAGGTGCAAACAATGAATCCTTGCAGCATCAGGGTTCTGGGTTAAATTCCTAACTAATGTTTATGGAGTTTCTAGTGTTTGACATTTATCTGGCTGCTCCAATTTTGTCCCTTTCCAAACTTCTTGCCGAGTTAATTATTAAAAGCAGAATACATACCAATGCATGTGCAGACCATCAGCTTAACTACGGTGAAAACTGTTGTGAATGGTAAATACATATTCTGTAAAAGACAATGAAGGATTATGAAATGGAGCTCCTATGGATGGGAAAACCAGATCTTACACTTGCCATATACGTATATCCTGACAGCGTAGGCTTTTGTGCCCTCCATGAAAGAGCAAAGCAGGCTAAGCTGAGAACCCTCCACTACTGAAGACAGCTAGGATGTATGACATCATTTGCCTGGGCATGGAAACCACTAAGTAAATGAAAGAATGCAAAAAAAAAGGTTAAAACAAATGAAAATGATATACTTTCCTATCCTTTTACTAATGCTATCAGCATAAGGATTAGAATGAGTATGTTGATTGAAAGCCTGACGGTCCACTTTAAGCAGTCAAGTTCACTTATAAAAAAAGCGGTAATGGTTATATTTATAATAAAATATAATAGTGGTGTAGCGCGGATAACTAAATGTGCAAGCTCCACAATAATAAGATAAAAAAACATAAATCACATAAATTAATGATTATAAATGTAGGTATAATATAAGTGATAGATCTTTCAAGATCTAAAAAAAACAGTATCTCAAACTGTGATATTATCAGTACACAAAGTGCATATGATGAAGCTGGTCCTATGCCCGGACCCTCATACAGTGACAATACCCAGTCCCACTTGGGACCAAACCCCAAAAGACTAGGTGCTATATACAGTGGATCCCAAAATAAGGGATATGATCACAAATAAAGTGAATGATATATAAAGTGTATCCCAAAGTTGTGATATAAACCAAATAAAGTGACTAGTGAATAATGTTAAACACAAAACCAACGTCATAAACGCATAAAACAAAAAGTGTCCAACAAATTGCCAAGAATAGCAAAGATGGCAATTACTGCAAAAATGTGCCTATATCTTCAAACCACGTGCTATAGTGCTGGTGCAGATGGTGAGCATATATCCTTAGATGGCATGCATGCCCCCTCACCTCCTTGCTGCGACCCAAAAGGGTCAACATGCCTTTTGGATCACTCTGGATCCTACAGGTACCAATTCTCCAGGTCGCTCTGATTCCACTGAACCTCACTGGTAACTTCCTTCCAATATAAATCACTCTTCCATCCAGGGATAAACGCAGTGCAGGCCAATAAATAAGTATTACATTACAGCCATGAAAAGACAAAAAAACAAGTCTCCCATAGTGCAACAGTATTATAATATATATATATATATATATATATATATATATATATATATATATATAAACACTGTAAAAAAAAAAAAAGAAAAGTCCTTTCCATACTGTATGTATTCTGGTTTACAACCTAATTGAAATATAAAGACTTTTTTTTTTAAACTGCGCTGGAAAACAGTGGAGGCACAAAAATGTATTTTTTGTATTTCTGTAGAAGAGAAAAAAACAAAAAAAAAAACAGGTGAGCAATAGTGTATAATTTCATTGAGGAACTCCAGGGGAGTTAATACCTAATCATATACAGCATGTATCAGCAGGTCTGCAGAGCTTGATTTGTAACTGTTGAGAGTTCTCAATAAAAGAGTCTTCCCACAATTCACCTATAACACAATAATTCTTATGGTATATTACAAATGCTGCCAATGGGGTTTTTCAAAGTCTTGCAAAAACTCATATTTAACCCTTCATACAGGGTTGTTGGTAAAATCCACATTTGGCTTAAAAAAAAATAATATTCTATTGTGCTAGAATGTAAGTGGTTCTAAAATCGAGATGTTTTTCACCTTAATGCATTCTATGCATTAAAGTAAAAAAACTCCCCAACTACCTGTTACCCCCCTCTCCATCCCTAAATACTTACCTGACTCCTCTCACTGATCCAGCACTGTTCCAGCTGCAGCACAACTCTCCTTTTGTTCAGGTCTCTCAGGAGACAGCAGCAGGAGCCAAAAGCTTTTACTGTTGTCATTCAAACTCCTGTGAGGAGGGGGAAGGCACATGGCTTAACGGCACAGTATGTATCTATGGATGCACTTAGCCCAGCTATGGAGCGCACCCCCAGGGGTGCATCCTGAGCACACAGCTTGCTGAGAGGGCACTTGGAGGAGGGAGGAATGGAGAGCGCCAGCAGAGGACTCTAAGTGCCTGTTCACATATATGCGTATTGGATGCTGTTTGAACCGCATCCAATCCTCATGAAATGTGAAAAAAACATTGCTTCCTATGGTGCCTGTTCACATATGTCCAGTGCACTGGCGGTGCGGATTCACTGCGGTTTTAAAAAGAGTCATGTCCAATTTTTGAAAAGTGCGGTCCGGTTCAGGTGCGGATTACAGGCTATTGACTTCTATGGGAACGGTTTCTAAACCGCATGTGTGAACAAGATAAGATCCTGAGATAATCCAGTCCTGAACCTGACCTGAACCTGTGAACAAGTACTGTATCAATGAGCTATGAAACCTGAGCTTCAATACGCACCGCACATGTGTGAATCAGCTCTTAAACAGGCGATAAGGGACCGCTTTGTGCAATACCACTGCACAGAGTAGGTAAGTATAGTAAATAAAAAAAAAAAAATCTTTACAATCACTTTAAAGCATATGTATAGTCAAAACCTTTTTGTTTTTTTGGTTTTGTATAGTGTAAGGAAGAACAGAGTTTGCCCCTTTGTATTCGATCTGGTGACCACTGTCATGGGGACAGAAAGTGTTAGCTTCTCCATAATTATACAGTTGTCCCCAGTACAAGAAGTGAGGGTAAATTTTCCAATGGCGACACTTGTTAGGATGAAAATGGTCAGAGAGAAATTTCTTTCACTTTGCAGAGATTTCCTTTTACTTGTGTTGCCAGATCAGGAAATCTCCCTGATGTGACACCAACAAAAAGTTTGACGGAGGTTTTAACCTTTCCTATAATAACAGAAACACTTGGGCTATCCATACACTTTAAGGGCTGGTTCACACTATGCCTTAAGCTGAATCGCACAGGAACACTGAGCATTGCAGTGCCATTCATCCGCAGCTCTGTGCGGTGCGATTTCAAGCTCATTCATTTGAACGGGCTGAAATCGCACCACACCAAAACTAGTGCATGCATGGCAACCATGCAGGCCAGTGCAGGAAAAACACAATGCATTTGTGACCTGCATTTAGGGTGTCATTAACTTTTAACTGTTTCGGTGGTATTTGATCACCTGTGCGTTTTACTTTTTTGCGCATTAAACAAAAAAGACTGACAATTTTGATTAAAAAAAAAACTATATTTTTTACTTTTTGCTATAAAAATATATCCAGTGTGTTGTTTGCACATAGGTCTCTCTCCTGTCACTGTTTCTTAGCGATCGCCAGGTACGGCGGGGAATCTCCGGCCGGGACCCAGTGATTGATGGCAGGGTGCTGCCCTTCCCGGAAACGCAGAACATAAGTGATTTTGCACAGCCCTGCCGCTCTGTAGCAGTATTTCTGCTATAGGGTGTCAGTGAAGCAGTTAAAGTGTTACTAAGCCCAGGACCCTGCATCCACTATATGTGGTCTCCCACAGTACACACTACACAGAAGTGCAATTATTTTAGTAAATATAAACTGCTAAATACCTTTTATCATCAGCAGTTAGAGCAGTCTTGTGACTTCTATCAGTGTCCAGCAGAGCACTGGTTAAAGCTTGTAGGAGGAGTTTTCATTCAGCTCTAGGAGGATGCAGGACCCCTGACCTCTGTCTGAACAGTGCTGATTGGCCCTGTGCTGATCACATGCATGCTCCCAAAAAAGAAAAAAAACCTCTAGCAATACACACCAAACTGAGCATGTGCAGACTGACTCCACATGATATCACTTATCAGGAGATAAGAGGGGGGGACACTGGAAGAAGGGGGGGATCAGAGAAGTCAGGATCAAATAGCATTTTTACACACTGCAGATGATTAACCCCTTAGGTTCCACAGTGAGTATGTTTACTGCATGCTTTACTGCATATACAGACAGATTTTACTGTTGTGGGTTTAGTAACACTTTAAGAAGAGCACCAGCATCCACTGTCCAGCAGAAAATAGTTTTCAATCCATAGACCTTGTATATAGTTTTGTTTCATTGGTATATGGAAGAAATCTATAATATATGCACAGAAAATCACATCTCCTTATTTTGACAAGGTAACTAGTAACAACTGAATCAAAAATTAGAAATCTGTCTCAGTGTTTTCTTGCAGCTAAATGACTGCCTTTGTAGGTTATGGAGTGGTGGTAATAAATAAATAATACATAACTTCTGTGAAAGGATTTGTGTGCCAAGAGGAATGGTTAGCTTGTTTCAGCTGTCTGGCTTTTACATCAAAATGTAATATTTTTCCAGGACAATGCACCCAACCAGACTATCTGTTTTAGGTGCTTTATGATACCAAAAATGGAACTGATAAGGGTTAGCGCTTCTACTCTGTCTTTAATGCAGTGAATTACACAGGCAGACAGTTCTAGGAGTAATGTGAGAACAATGGAAACCTACAGTGAGATAGAGCAGAACAGAAACAGAAATGTCATTTCAGATTGGCAGAGTTAAAAGACCCTCATAAAAGTAGTCCATGCCACTCATAGGGTTCCATGCACACTGGGCGTTTTAATAAAGCTGGTAGCGTTAGCTGTGTAAAAACGTGAGTTTTTCAGCATTTTGTAGTATTTTTTGCACTAGCGTTTAGCCACGTTTGCGTTATTTTTTTACACGAAAAAAATGTTGCTAGAAAAAAAACGCCAGTTTGCCGCGCTTGGACACATGTTTGCCTTAACATATTTAACTTTTATGTGCATGTAAATGTTTTATTGCATTATTTTTACCGCGTTTTTCAGTGTTAGAGTGTTTTTACAGCTAACAAACTCATCTAGAAACCCACTAGTTCTGGGTTTTTTTTTCCAGCTAAAAAACGTCCCTGCCAAAAAACACTGATTAAAGCCTATGTGTACATGAACACAGGATGACATGCTGGGAAGTTTACTGGCTGTACACAAAAAAAAAAAAACGCCAAAAGCCAAAAACAACAGCTGTAAAAATGTCCAGTGTTGCATGAGGACTAAACATACAAACTTCAGATAGTAAAAAAAGAGAGGAAAAAGGGGGGTAATGTCAGACTATTTATTTATTTCAGGTACTTATATAGTGCTGTCAATTTACACAGCACTTTACATATATATTGTATATTCACATCGATCACTAACCCTCAAGGGGTGTACAATCTAAGGTCCCTACTGCAAACTCACATTCATATATTTTACTTGTAATAAATAAACAGTCTGACATACTAGGGCCAATTTAGACAGGAGCCATTTCACCTAGCAGCACATCTTTGGCATGTGGGAGGAAACTGGAGTACCTGGAAAAAACCCACGCAGGCACAGGGAGAACATGCAAACTCCAGGCAGGTGGTGCCGTGGTTGGGATTCGAACCAACAACCTTAGTACTGCAGATAATAATTCCCGAAACCCTTAAAACACTTAGTACTGGCAGGCAGAAGTGCTAGCCATTTATCCACTGTGCTGCCCAGACTAAAGAAACTGTAGTCTTGGTATAGAAAGCACACAGACTGGAGAGAAATGTTGAGCAGCAAACAGGGTCAGGGATTATTACAAAGTAAATGAGTAAGAGGAAGTTACTTTTATACATCATAGACCTATTACTTGAAGTGACCCCAAAAGTGTGCCTGGAAAATATGTCTGTTGTCAAGAATTATTTACTGGCGGTAACGTCTTTGCAGGCCTTTTTAGCAACAGATCCACTAAGGCCCAGTAAAATAGGAGGTCGCACTAACAGGCTAAAGTAAAGTTTAAATATAAGCTCTACGGGCAGAGAAGCATTTACATATTAAGATTCTTTGTCACAGAACCTCTGCCGCCCAATTCCAATTTCTCAACATACCATACCCCAAGCCATGGCCATTCAGTGGCCTGTATATATCACAAGTTTTTTCGTAACCCCTTTACGACCGAACACATATGTGCGGCAGCAAAAGTGTGGGCTTTGTTGTCCGATGTGTTGACAGCTCTCGACCTGGCCTAAAGACTGGTAGCCGGCAGGACTGGCTTCTGATCATGTGACACCACAAAGCTTCTAACTCACTCCCTGGTCATCTCCCGCTTTGACTTCTGCAACTCCCTCCTCACTGGCTTACCTTTACATAGACTATCCCCCCTCCAGTCATTCATAAATGCTGCTACCAGGCTCATTCACCTTACCAACCATTCAGTGCCAGCAACCCTTCTCTGCCAGTCCCTCCACTGGCTTCTGCTCACCCAACAAATTCAATTCAAGATACTTACAACAATTTATAAAGCCATCCACAACTCAGCCCCCAGCTACATCACTAACCTTGTCTCAAAATACTGACCAAATCATTCTCTTTGTTCCTTGCAAGACCTCCTGCTCTCTAGCTCCCTCGTCACCTCCTCCCATGCTCACCTCCAGAACTTCTCCAGAGCTGCTCTCATCCTCTGGGACTTCCTTCCCCAATGTGTCCAAATATCTCACATTTTCTATCCACTTTTAGACGATCCCTAAAAACTCATCTCTTCAGAGAGGCCTATCCTGCCCCCACCTAGCAACTGTACATGTAATTTCTCCATCAGCCCATCCCCCACAGTTATTACCTTTTTATATCAATTGACTTTCCCTCTTCAATTGTAAGCTTTAACAAGTATTGCAATTGTACTGTTTGCCCTTATGTTATAAAGCGCTGCGTAAACTGTTGGCGCTATATAAATCCTGCATAATAATTAGAAGAAGAATATTGGGACCACTCTGACAATGGTCACATGATTGCCGATCCTTCCCACTGTCCTGGGCATTCAAGGGAAGGGGTTAATCTGCTTTACTGTGCTTTATCGTTCTTTTTCTTCAACATAGGAAACCGATTTGGGTGAACAAAGATGTCTAGCCATTGACACACTCTTCAGTTTACACATTGGAGTTGATTTACTAAAGGTAAATACACTGTTCCCTTTGCAAGTGAAGTTGCACTCTGCAAGGGAATATTCCCCAGAGCTTAGTGAATGTGGTGAAATTTCACTTTCACTACCTAATCATGTGCAAGGAACATAAAAAAAAAAAAGTATTTTTGCTTACAGATGACTGGATGATAAAAGTCAACAGAACTTTACCCCATTTGCTAACTCTGAGGATAATTCTCTTGCGCCGTGTAACTGCACTTGCAAAGTAAACAGTCTATTTATTTTTAATAGTCAACCCCTTGGAGTATACATATGTCATTGCAGTAAAATAATTGCCACGAAAGTCAACACAGATTTAAGAAAAAAGGTCATTACTGGAATCTTACTGAAAAATCTGGTCAGCGCCACAAGACCACAAGGGATATTAAATATGTCCCATGACAAATCTAAAGGGATCCTCCCGAGACTATAAATACATTATATGAAATGTTCATGAATGAGTACTTGCTAGAATAATCAAAACATATACAACCAAAGCTACTGAACATTATGCAGTCCTTGGCCATCCCTGAAGAGCAGTGGTTGAACGGGCTAAGGCGCTATATATACACACACTATATTGTCAAAAGTATTGGAAGGCCTGCCTTTACACGCACATGAACTTTAATGGCATCCCACTCTTAGTCTGTAGTGTTCAATATTGAGTTGGCCTACCCTTTGCAGCTATAACAGCTTCAACTCTTCTGGGAAGGCTGTCCACAAGGCGCAGGTCAATCAAGTTCTAAGAATTTGGAGATTTGGACAAATAGATCTACATATTCTATTAGTGCTGTCAATAAGCTAGAGCTGAAAATCTTTTTGAAAAATCTAAAATTAGCCCTGCAGTGGGGCTGGCCCACATTGCAAGATTTAAGTGCCAGTTCACATACACTAGATTGCCAAAAGTATTGGGAGGCCTGCCTTTACACACACATTAACTTTAATGGCATCCCAAGCCTTAGTCAATAGAGCTCAATATTGAGTTGGCCCACCCTTTGCAGCTATAACAGCTTCAACTCTTCTGAGAAGGCTGTCCACAAGGTTTAGGAGTGTGTCTGTTGGAATGTCTAACCATTCTTCCAGAAGTGCATTTGTGAGGTCATGCACAGATGTTGGACAAGAAGGCCTGGATCGCAGTCTCCGCTCTAATTCATCCCAAAGGTGTTCTATCGGATTGAGGTCAGGACTCTGTGCAGGACTGCAGGTCAATCAAGTTCCTCCACCCCAAACTCGCTCATCCATGTCTTTATGGACCTTGCTTTGTGCACTGGTGCGCAGTCATGTTGGGACAGGAAGGGGCCATCCCCAAACAGTTCTCATGAAGTTGGGAGCATAAAATTGTCCAAAATGTCTTGGTATGCTGACGCCCTAGAGTTCCCTTCACTGGAACTAAGGGGCCAAGCCAAACCCCTGAAAAGCAACCCCACACCATAATCCCCCCTCTACCAAACTTTACCCTTGGCATAATGCAGTCAGGCAAGTACTGTTCTTCTGGCTACCGCCAAACCCACACACATCCATCGGATTGCCAGACAGAGGAGCGTGATTCGTCACTCCAGAGAACATGTCTCCACTGCTCTAGAGTCCAGTAGCAGCGTGCTTTACGCCACTGAATCCGACGCTTTGCATTGCACTTGGTGATGTAAGGCTTGGATGCAGCTGCTTGGCCATGGAAACCCATCCTGAACCCCTCTATGCACTGTTGTGCTAATCTGAAAGTCACACGAAGTTTGGAGGTCTTTAGCTATTGACTCTGCAGACAGTTGGTGACTTCTGTGCACTA